AAACTTAGAAGCCAGTGACTAACCAAATATTTGGAGAAAAATTGTGAAATTTCCAAATCATATATTACAAATCCGTAAAACATATATATGTTAACTTAAAAAAAGTAACTTTCCTTAATAACCTTTGATTTATTGAAACAAATGATGATAATTTTTGTATTTATTGATTTTCTACATAATTACTAATGACAATTTTTGAATTTATTGATACTTTCTTTAATAAATTTTATAAAGGCAATTTCGTCTAACTATTGTTTCTCTATGCTATTTAACTAAATTCAATTATCAACATGTTAATTTCTTAATTATAGCTCCTTAAAGTGATATTTAGCTAATTAACTCTATTTATTACTCTACCAAATTTATTTTAAACAATCAAGTTCTGAATTTAACCCAAGATGTTTATTACAAGATGATAAAGGAGAAACAACAATTTTAGCAGTTCATAGTAAAGATACTCCAACAACTACATATACACCTAAACAGTTAAATTGGAACGAAATAACTATTACAGATCAATGGAAAGTTGAAATTACTCAACCTCCTAGAAACTTTGAATAGAAATATATTTCAAGAATAATTGAACAAAGAGATGGAAAATTTTTATTACAATTCAGATCTTTCAGAGAACCACTTCCACCAAGAATTAGTTCATATCATTCAAGAGCTTCCTTTTCAGAATATCGTACTAGTCAATCTAGTGCAGATTCAGAAACAGAAAGCATAAATCAAAATATTAAACAAGATAATTTAATTAAATTTAAAGAACTTGAACAAAACCCGTATCCAACGTTTCTTACACCATCAGACTTTAAATCAATAAATGTCATAGCAAAAGCATATGAAATTGATAAACAATATATCAAAGCGGAATTTTTTTTGTCAACCAAATATTAATTAAAATACTCCACCATAATTGGTAATCCAACTAGGCGGGAAATTTTTTACATAGGAAAATTCTAAAGCTCGAGAACGTGCAGAGCGGGTCAGGCCGTCTGCTTTCAAATTAAGGGAACGAGAGATAAGCTGCAGTGAGAAAAGAGGCAAACGATCTTGGAGCTCCCTGAGTCTTGCCAAGGG